TATTGCATTTTGGTACAACAAACAAGGGTAGGGTTTATACAATTAACGGGAGAGCCTTGGGTACTGTAGTAGACCAGAGGGACCTGGGGAGCAGGTACATAATTTTTTAAAGTTTGCATCACATTTGGACAGGGTGGTTAAAAAGGCACTTGGTACACTTGCCTTCATTGCTCAGTCCTTTGAGTATAGGAGTTGGGACATTATGTTGAGGTTGTATCGGACATCGGTGTGGCCTCAATTGTAGTTCTGTGTGCAGTTCTGGTCGCCCAGTTATAGGAAGAAAGGTGGCTCAGTGGTCAGCACTGCTGCCTCACAGTGCCAGAAACCCAGGTTCAATTCCACCCTTGGGCAACTGTCTGTTTGGAGTTTGCACGTTCTCCCGTGTCTGCGTGGGTTTCCTCCGTGTGCTCCGGTTTCCTCATGCAGGCTGGGTGGATTGGCCATGCTAAATTGCCCATTGTGTTCAGGAATGTGCAGATTAGTTGGGTTATAGGGGGATGGGTCTGGGTGGGAATGCTCTGAGGGTCAGTGTGGACTTGTTGGGTCGAAGGGCCTGTTTCCACACTATAGGGATTCTATGAATATTATCAAGCTGGAGAGAGTTCAGAAGACATTTATCAGGGTGTTGCCGGATATAGAAGATTTGAGTTATAAAGAAAGGCTGGATAGGGTGGGGCTCTTCACTCGAGCGTAGGAGGTTGAGAGGTGACCTGATAAAAGTTTATAAAATAATGAGAGGTATGGATGGAGTTGATGGCAGTTGTCTTTTCCCTAAGGTGGGAAGTTCAAGACTAGGGGGTACATTGTTAAGGTGAGAGGAGAGAGATTTAAAAAAGACATAAGATGCAAATTTTTTACACAGAGGGTGGGGTACTTGTGGAATGAACTTCCTAATGAAGTAGTGGACACGGGTACAATTGCAATGTTTAAAAGACATTTGGATGGATATACCAAGGTTTGGAGGGATATGGGCCAGGAGCAGGCAGGTGGGACCAGTTTAGTTTGGCATTATATTCAGCATGGACTGGTTGGAACAAAGGGTCTGTTTCCATGTTGTATGTGTCTATGTGTGTGTGACTGCATATGTGTCTATGTGCGTGTAACTGTATGTGTGTTTGTGTGTGCATGTTTGTGACTGTGTGCGTGTAACTGTATGTGTGTTTGTGTGTGCATGTTTGTGACTGTGAGCGTGTAACTGTATGTGTTAGTGTGTGCATGTTTGTGTCTGTGTGCGTGTAACTGTATGCATGTTTGTGTGTGCATGTTTGTGTATGTGTGCGTGTGACTGCACAGTGTCTGTGTGTGCATGTTTGAGTCTCTAACTGTATGTGTGTTTGTGCATGTGTTAGTGCTGTTTTGCGTGAGTGTGCATATGTGTGTGTATGCACACGCATGTGTGTGTGTGCGTGTGTGTGCATGCGTGTATAAATTGTGCACATTTAAGCAGATGCAATGACATCATAAAATTGGCATCTGGTGTCCAATAAACTGAACTGTCAGAAGCCTAACCACCTTGAACTGTGCAATCATTTGGGTCTGGTAACTTATTTTCTTGGCAGCTTACATCCATGAACAGGATTCTGTGTGCTTATCCTGGCACGTGGAACTGTTCTCCCTTTTTGACACAGTTGGTGACATGTTGCCCAGGTTAGGTACAGCAGGAGTTAATGTTGGGATCAGCATATCTTTGTTGTGCCCAGTCTCATAACAGCATAGCCCATCCCCACGACACCAGGGCTGACATTTCCAGATCTCACACCTGCCAGGTTTACAGCTTAGAGAAAGACTAAATTTAGCAGCAATCAGAGCGAAATTGTCGGCAGTTTGAATTGAATTGACACTGCGCCAACCGCACAGTGCATGCAGATCCTTCCAGCTGGCGGTGAGAGGGAGAGTGTGATGATTCTCCTTTCCATTAGCCCAGGCTGGATTGCAACCCAGCACCACCACACTGCACCCCACACACGGGCACGCACACACACAACTCTGGCCAAGTTGACAAGAATACTGCTCCTCACTGAAAAGGTTACAGGTCCAAGCCTAACTGGACACTACATGCCCCATGCCAGCAATGGGGAACTGCAGCACTGTCAGAAAAATGCCACCTTTGGATGAGATGTTACCTTTTCCATATCTGTCCTTTAAACAGAATCACCGAAAAGAGATTCACGGGTTGTCAAATTACTGTTTGCAGGATCTTGCTGTGTACAAAGTGGCTGTCACGTTTCTTGCACTGCGCCTCAGAAAGCACTTTGTTTCTCCCTGCTGCAGGCTGGACAAATTTGGAATGTGCTACCTTACAAGATGATTCCGTTTTTAATTTGCTACAGGGATCTGAATAAATACATGAAGGAGAAGCATTTGTCAGGCCCTGGGATCGGAAGAAGTGGGAGCTGGCTGAACTGGACAGTTCTCTCACATGGCAAGGATGGGCCAAATGAACTCCTTCAGCTCTGTAACTTTCAATGATGGGAGGTAAAATGCTTTAGGAAAATTTGAAGCCCATTAGACCATAAGATATAGGAGCAGAATTAGGCCTTTCAGCCCATCACATCTGCATTCAATCATGGCTGATATGTTTCTCAACCTGCCTTTTCTCTGTAACTAAGATAACAAGGTGTAGAGCTAGATGAACACAGCAGGCCAAGCAGCATCAGAGGAGCAGGAAGGCTGACGTTTCAGGCCTAGACCCTTCTTCAGAAATTTCTCTGTAACTCTTGATCCCCTTACCAGTCAAGAACCTATCTATCTCCATCTTAAAAACTCCCAACGACTTGGTCTCCACAGACCTCTTGGCAATGAGTTCCACAGATTAGCCACTCTTTGGCTAAAGAAATTCCTCCTCATCTCAGTTCAAAAGGGTGGTCCCTTCACTCTGAGGTTGTGCCCTCAGGTCCTAGTCTCTCCTACCAGTGGAAACATCATCCCCATGTCCACTCTGTCCAGGCCTCTCAGTGCTCTTTAAGTTTCAATCAGATCCCACTCATCCTTCTTCACTCCATTGAGTACAGACCCAGAGTCCTCAACAGCTCCTCATATGACAAGCCCTTCGCCACAGGATCATTCTTGTGTACCTCCTCTGGATCCCCTCTGAGAACAGTAAACGGGGCCCAAAACTGCTTACAATATTCCAAATGCGCTCTGGCCAGAGTATTTTACAGCTGCAGCAGTACATCCCTGCTCTTGTACACAAATCATGAAAAAATGCCATAAAACTGCAATACTGTCATTTGTTTTTTTAAAATATATTCCTCTTTCTTCCACTAGTTCCTGACACCTTTAGCTGTAACTATATGGTTTGACCTTTACTCAGTCACATTATTTCAGATAACATTGACTCCAATCTTGCAGCACTATACTGCACTGTTGACTCTCGGGACATGGTTAACATCAGCAATGAGTCCGACTGTTTGAGGAGGTCCTCTGAGGCTGAAGGTACTCAAGTCTCCTTCCAAGATGTGAAGGCGGCACACAGAGCTGGAATGACCCTGCTGAAATTCCTTCAGACATCGAATCATTGTGGGGAATCAAATCTCTCTTGTCTTGGAATGGGAAGATTAATCTCAAGTTCTCAAAAATTAGAGTCATAGAGTGATAAAGTTAGACAGCACGGAAACAGACCCTTCGTCCAACTAGTCCATACTGACCAAGTATCCCAAACTAAACTAGTCCCACTTGCCTGCATTTGGCCCATATCCCTCTAAACCTTTCCTATTCATATACCTCTCCTGATGTCTTTTAAATCTTGTAACTGTGCCTGCATCTGCCACTTCCATTGGCAGTGCATTCCATACGTGAACTACCCTCTGTGTGAAAAATTTGCCCCTCAGGTCCCTTTTAAATCTTCCTCCTCTCACCTTAAAAATATGCCCCTAGTTTTGAACTCCTCCATCCTAGGGAAAAAACCTTTGCTATTCACCTTATCTATGCCCCTCGTGATTTTATACACCTCTATAATGTCACCCCTCAACCTCCTATGCTCCAGTGAAAGAAGTCCCAGCCTCTCCTTATAATTCAAACCCTCCAGTCTTGGCACCATCCTGCTAAATCTTTTCTGAACCCTCACCAGTTTAATAAGTGGCCTCACTAACGTCCTGTACAGCCTCAACATGACGTCCCAATTCCTAAATTCAATGGTCTGACCATGAAGGCAAGCATGTTAAATGCCTTCTTAATCACCCTGTGTACCTGTGATGCAACTTCCAAAGCACTGTGTACCTGAACCCTTAGGCCTCGCTGTTCGACAGCACTACCCAAGGCCCTACCATTAACTGTACAAGTCCTGACCTTGTTTCCTTTACCAAAATGCAATACCTTGCATTTATCCAAATTAAACTCCATCTGCCACTCCTCAGCCCACTGGCCCAATTGATCAAGATCCCTTTGTAATCTTAGATAACTTTCTTCACTGTCCACTATACCACCAATTTTGGTGTCATCAGCAAATCTACTAACCATGCTTCCTAAATTATCACCAAAATGGTTTATATAAATGACAAACAAAAGTGGACCCAGCACTGATCCCTGTGGAACACTGCTGGTCACAAGCCTCCAGTCCAAAAAACAACCCTCCATCATCGCCATCTGTCTCCCACCATCAAGCCAATTTTGTATCTAAGTGGCAAGCTCTCCCTGAATCCCATGTGATCTAACTTTACTTAGATTGAAGGTGAAGGTCGGGTTTGTTTACTTCTGATGAATTGGTTGGAAGAGATAAGTTTTCAGGGTGGGAACTCTCAACAATGCCATGGGGCTAGCCTTCAGGTTTTAGTGCCCCATCTAAAGATTGGCACCTGTGCCAATGTGGCATTCTTTTGGGTACCGTGCTACTATGATACGTCAAGGCTTAGGGTGGTGCCTATGCCAACAGCCTTCTGACCGGGAGTCGAGATGGTCATTGGCGAGAACCAAGGTGATAGATTAGAGAAATAAATATTTGGCACATGCATCACAAGTGACCACGTGGCTCGTGTCGGTCTACCTCACTTCCATTCTCTTACCTTGAACAATTGGCCACCTCAATCCGGGCTCCGACACATTCGTGACCTCCGCACCGTGGGGCAGGGCTGTCACATGACCTGGAGCGGCACATGCACGTTCCCGTGGCCTCTTTGTCTGTGTGCTCGCACAGTTGCCATGGAGACCACGGCCCAAATTCACCGTCCATCGTGAGGTTTCTCACCTGAATCAAAGAGTGCCAACAGTTAGGTGGAGCAAACGTAATTTCAAAAGTGGCAATGTTAAGCTGGAGGTTTGGAAACATAGCACAATATCGTGAACCACTGTGTTTTTAAGGGGGAATAAAGCCTGCACCCGTTAAAAACTGACCTCTTCCCATTCTCTCACCTTGCCCTACAACGCAACAATGGTGTTGGAAAGGAGAGATGGGAACCCTACACCACCGGCCTCTCTGAAACCAACAGCTGGATGGCACTGCCTCTGAAATGTTCCTCCCAATTGTGATACGACAATTTGGATTTGTACAGCACATTTAACACAGCGAAAGATTGCAAGGTATAATTAGGCAAAGACTGACTGAGCCAGGTGAAGCAATATTCAGGCAGGGGAACCAATCAGTTGGTCAAAGACATGGCTCTCAAAAAAGGACAGGGAGGCCAACAGGTTTAAGAAAGGAATTCTGAGCTCTGGGCCAAAACAGCTGAAGCCACTGCTGCCCAATGGTGAGGCAAAGACAGTCGTCTGGGGATAGAGGAGTGGAGAGATGGTGGAGGATGTCAGGGTTGGAAGAGCTTTGAAATGGATATGAATTAGAAATGTGAGTGAGGACAGGAATGATGGGGAAATGGAAACTGGCACAAACTAGAGCTACACACTGCCCAGATGATTGGCACAACTTAATATCATGGCATCTGTCAGTGACCAATGCCAACTCACAACACTAAACATTGTGTCACATTATTATCTTTGATAAGTAACTGCATTGTCCCATGTCTTTCCCCTTACCCTGAAGGTGGGGTTTGGGCTTGTTAATGGACATTTTCTAATCAACCTGTTCAAAAACATTGTTTACACCTCTGGAGCAGACTGGGACTTGAACCCAGGCCCCCCACCTCAGAGGCAGGGACACTATCACTGCACCACATGAACCCCTAACCATTTTACTGTAGTCAGAAGTCACACACCACCAGGTTATAGTCCAACAGGTTTATTGGAAATCACAAGCTTTCGAAGCACTGCTCCTTCGTCAGGTGCCTGATGAAGGAGCAGCGATCCGAAAGCTTGTGTTTTCAAATAAACCTGTTGGACTATAACCTCGTGCCATGTGACTTCTGACTTTGTCCACCCCAGTCCAACACCACATCATGGCTACCATTTCAATGTAATCATGCCTTTCTTTGGGAAGTTGATACTGAGAAGACATTTTTTGTCAAAAATCAGGAATTTTCATGCTTCTGATTTAAAAAAAATTCTTAACCTAACTTTTTGAAGAGACTGTTAGCAAATTCTTCAGTTCCATCAAAACAGGGAACAGGTAAATACCCAGCCATCTGTTAAAGCCCAAAGTACTAAAATATTATTTAAAATCAGCAAACAGGTCATATTAGCATGCAAGTGTGAGCTTTTTAAAACATTGACATTAATGAATAACACATACGAAAATGTCTGCTTTTCTATGCCATTTACTTAGTGTGTCATTCTTGACTCAGTGGGTAACTCTCTCCTCTCCAAGGCTAGAGGTTCCAAGTTCACTGTGGAGACTGGACCACAAAATCTAGGTGAATACTCCAGCAGAGAAAGGCGCTGCCTCCTGGATGAGATGTCAAATCTAGACTTTCACCATCATTTGTCCTATTTGCTCATGGATCTCAGGGATGCTTCAGGGATCTTGTTGTTCACTGATTTGTTGCAAAACTTCCTTCCATTATCTTTTGGAGATAGAAAAGGCTGTAGATGCTGGAAGTCAGCATCAACAAAATGTGGAGATGGAGGGAGCACGGCAGCTCAGGCAGCAACTGAGAAGCAGGAAAGTCGACGTTTCAGGTCTGGACTCTTCATCAGGATTGGGGAGGGGGAAGGGAGCTCAGGAATAAATGGTGGGGTGATGGGGCT